GGGGGGGGGGGGGGGGCAGGCCACACTCCAATCCACCCACCCCACCCTCCAGCACCAGCTGGGAAACTCCCAGAACAAGCTCCCTCCACTCCGTTTCTTTCTTTGATGTGGTAGGATAAGTGTTTTTTTTAGTGTAGTTAGTTCTACCTATAAACAGATCACAGTAATGTTTCTCTGTGCCAGTGCCACAATTTCTTACTTAGACAGTAAAAGAAAGAGACTATTCTCAACCTATAATGCCTTTCAGCCAATGATAGGAACGTACGTGACACAAAAATTAAGGCTCACAAAATCCTTGTAGCTGAAAAATAGCCCTTGTAATCAATCAATCTGTGAAACAGGAGAATGAAAGAAATGCCAAGATTCATTTAGGACTGAGCACAACACTTTTCAGAGTAGCCCTGAATGGCACCGATTAGAAAAGAACTACATCGACAACTTAGTTGTCAGTTCACTGATCAAACTGATCAAATAAAAACTGAAAATTTCTTTGGTTTTCCATCATTACAAAAATCTACAGGTGCTCAAAACCTTTCTGGATAAAACATTTTATTTTGTCTGAGTGTAAAACTAAAATTGCATTAGAAATATTTCAAGAGGAAAAATTGTAGCTTTGATGTAAAAAGCTGTCCATGCAACAGGAATTCACAAAAGGTTTACGTCAACGTATTTTGGTGGGGAAAATAATTTTGTAAATTTTTTTTTGGAGAGGCGGGAGAACCGGGGGGGCGGGGGGAGTTGCTTGGTGGTATACTGGTATAAGCCACTTAATGATGTCGGCCATCTCCAACCTGTGAAAGAGGTTCTGACCTAAGATCTCAGACAAGCTGGCTAACCTCCTATCAGAAAAGAAAGATAGCACAAAAAAAACTTCATCTTTGTACAGCACCAAGAAATCCCTAGAGCACCCAGTCATGCATTAGTAGAAAAGAGTTAAAGCCCATATGCACAAAGTGCCTGCCAAAGACTCTCAGCCCCCGCAAAAGGGCTCCTTAGGGGATATAGCCCACAACTGGGCAACGCTGGTATGCATTCAGCAGTTCTGGATTTCAGTATTTTGACAGCTAACAGCACCACTCATTTGCTGTAAGTATTTTGGCTGCCTGAAACAAGGGCAACTTTGAACTAAAAAATGGCAGCATCTCACTGGCAATACTGAAAGCAGCTATATACCAGTAGACAATGTTCAATGCAGTACATTGCACTGCAGCTTGTTATGTAAAACTACAGAAGTACAGCTCTTCACACTTTCCATTTGGGTTTGTTTTCCATGTTAATAGGAAACCTGAAGATCTAAGTATTATTCTCATCTTGCTGTTTTTCAAAGATACAAACAATTGCCTGTATCTTTTCCCTGTACTTGATAGTTTTCACTTTGTCTACAAATCTTTAGTTTGCGTCTTTCTTTTCTTTACACCTAGAGTTTTGGCTCCTAAAATAGAATATGATCAAGCATAAAATGGTATATGGGACCTTAGACAAGATGAAAATAGATTAAATCAGTGAGAGCAACTTTTTTGGAAGTATGCCACAAATTAACCCTGCACCCTCCCCACGTCCCACCATGATGGTCTTCCTCTGCTTTCTGCTCCCTACTCTGTGCTCCCTGCCTGATCTCCTGCTCTGCTTGCTTCTTCCTGCCCTTCCACCCCATCCCCTCCCTGATCTGCTGCATGCCACACAAAAGCTGCCTGTGCCATTTGTGGCACTCATGTTGCAGGTGGCCACCTGTGGACTAAACTAAGATCTTCAGACCATTCTTTCTATACCAAAAAAAAAAAAAATCAAATAACCTGTAAATCAGGCAAGTACCACATACAGCCACTTCAAGATCACAGGAAGTACTACAAGTCAGCTTCTATCTGGTTTTAAACAGGAATTCATGTCACCTGTGTCAACTCTGCTACACAAATGGCCACAACAAATCAACAGGGTACTACATTTTCTAAGATGTAATGAATATCTGCAACTGAGATGCACAGCAGGTGGATAAAGGTCCAGATTGCTGGCTTATGCCAGCAGATGGATCTTATTGGCTTCAAACAGGATGAGATGTTGGACCATCTGAGCACAAGACACAGGGAGCTACAACAATGGTGATCATGCAGAGGGGTCTTGCAAATAGCACGATCTGGAAAGTTCAAGCAAAGGCTTACATTGCTGTTTTAATAACAAGTCACATTTCAGAAAAAGGGGTAAATAACTTGAGTATATTCAGTGTGTTTAACTCAGTTGCTTTCAAACTTTTTGGGACTCAAGGTACCCCTCCATAGCTTTTGTGAATTGAATGGCACTCAATTGCCAAAAACTAGTTTACAGATTACAGAGCTTATTTCCTTGCAGATGAGCCTGGCAGTGGGGATGGGGAATCATCCAGACAGGGACAAACCTGAGCCTACTCTTATCTGCTTAGTTTATCTGCTTATCTCTTTACATGAAGCTTAATTCCTCACATCTCACAGCACGCTTCAAAAGACCTGGTGTCACCATTGGTGAGAATAACTGGTTTAACTGTTCAAAATAGAGAACAGAGCCCATTTCGAGAACATAATATGTATAATTACAAAAGTCTACTCAGAAAGGATCTCCCACAAGCCATATTTTGAAAAAATTAAGACTAACTAGAAAAAAATTCCTGTGTTTCCATATGGTCTCTGACATAATACTCATTAAAAAAAGGACACATTTAGATCTATTTAAAAAAAAAAAAAAAAAAAAAAAAAAAATTAAAAAAC